ATTCCAGTCACAGGGCAGTCTTCCCCTGGGTATCTTTACATCATCTTCTCTTTGTGTCCAAATTTCTCCTTTTGGTAGGACCCCGGTCATATTGACTTAGGGCCCACGCTAATGGTCTCATTTTAACTTGATTACCTCCGTAAAGACCCTATTTCCAAATAAGGTTACACTCTGGGAGTACTGGGGGTTAGGGCTTCAACATCTCTATTTTGGGGGGACACAAAACAAAACCCATCCCCTCACAGAGATATATACAGAGAAATATATATTTTTATATATTTTATTGATTTTTTACAGAGAGGAAGGGAGAGGGATAGAGAGTTAGAATCATCGATGAGAGAGAAACATCGATCAGCTGCCTCCTGCACACCCCCTACTTGGGATGAGCCTGCAACCAAGGTACTTGCCCTTGACCAGAATCGATCCTGGGACCCTTCAGTCCGCATGCCGATGCTTTATCCACTGAGCCAAACCGGTTAGGACTATACAGATAAATATTAACCAACATTCTCTCTCTCTCTCTCTCTCTCTCTCTCTCTCTCTCTAAATGAATTAAATTGTTACATTTAATTAGACTCCACTTGCAATTTACTTTTGTGCTTGCATAGCTGAAGTTGTCTTGTGTGGCTTTGACATGAATCAGTGACTAGACATCATGATGCTGGGTTTAAGTATTCAAAGTAACTTTTAAAAAATTGTCTCAGGTTTTCTCTGATGTAGGTCTCTTAAAGTAGGGTTTGTCTGAAACCTAGGAAACCAATTTGAGATGTAGATTTGGATTTTTTTTTAAGATGTATAAAACATTTTTTTTCTAATTGCATATTTGATTATTGATGCTGTTCCTTTCATTCTGGTTTCTTCCTCAGGATATCCTTTCCTTACCAAAATAGCATAGTGCTTGGCAATAGGAGATATCCAAATGTTTGTCATACAAATTAATGAATATATAAATTATTTCAAAAGGGCTGATTGGTGGGATAACTAACAGGAAGTTGGACATACGGTTCTGAAATATTAGAAATAATGGCCAATGTAGATTTGTAATTTTTCTGTATTGGGGTGACAGGGGGAACTATAGGAGTGGGTGAGATCCTCTGGAATGAGAGTATATATTGGAGATGGAAGGTGGCAGAAGACACACCTAACTTTGGGAAGCAGCTTAGGCTGAGGAGCTACCTAAGGATGGAAGAAGGACACGAAGAGAATAAGGCAAATTCCCATTGGCTTAATGTGTTTATTGGCTTTCTCCCTTCCTTCGCCATTAGGGTTACGGAGATGTACTTCCAACTGAAAGAAATGAATGAAAAGGTGTCTTTTATAAAGGACTCCTTACTGTCTTTGGACAGCCAGGTGGGACACCTGCAGGACCTCTCTGCCCTGACAGTGGACACCCTAAATGTCCTTTCTGCGGTTGACACTTTACAAGAGGATGAAGCCCTCCTGGCCAACAGAAAGCTTCCTGCTTGCAGAAAACTTCCCCACAGCTGGAGCAATGTCATCTGTGCAGAGGTTCTGGGCAGCATGGAGATGTCTGGGGAGAAGAAATACCAGTATTACAGCATGCCTCCTTCTTTGCTGAGGAGCCTGGCCAGAGGCCAGCATCCCCCAAGAGTGCAGAGGGGACCCCTTGTTGAGACTGCAGACCGTCACAGAGAGACTTCAAATAAAAGAAATGACCAGGAAGAGCAAGAAACGGGAAATAGTATAGTTGCTTCTTGCCTTGACAGGCAAGCCCACCCAAAGCATGGCCACTTTCTTCTGGTCCCTTCTCATCTAAAGCAAGTTCCTTTTTCTGCAGAAACTGACTTGCTTCTGTCCAGATCACCTGTGGAAGCGGGTACAGGTGTGCTGGCACCTGAACAGGTCACCCAGAATGGAGTCCCTGTTCATCTGACTTGGCAGACCCCAGTTGTCTCAGCCCAGAGCTCAGTGGCTGAACACAAGGAGCATACGTACGAGCCAATCGTTCAAATACCAGCCAGACAAGGCAGGGGAGAGAAAGTTCTAACCACTTTGAAAATGACCTTCCCTTCCCAAGCTGAGAGCGTGCAAACTGGAGGTGGATATGTGAACTGGGCATTTTCGGAAGGTGATGAAACTGGTGTGTTCAGCATCAATAAAAAACGGCAAACCTGGTTGGCCTCCACTTGTAACAGTAACTCTAACGAGAGTCGACAATGCCAGAGGCAGATCTGGGGCAGATCCCTCCCTAATACCTCAACAGGATGGGCCCAGCCTAGTGATTGCTCAGAGGTGGGGCCAAGACTCCAGCCAAACACATCCCTTTGGATCAATCCTCTCCGCAGAGACAGGCCCCTCTTTCGGAGTCAGAGTTTGAGAACACACAAGGAGGAGAAACTGAAGGCCTGTAAGGTTACAAGTAAGATGTAAACACTTAAAAAAAAAAGTGTAAATTCTTTGCATTGCTACTATTTTTAAAGAGTTTATAACTTTTGGCTGCATTCTCATTCTCTCTATTCTCTGATCCTTCCAGTAAAACTGTAAAATAGTTCCCATAACATCTTAAACTTTGTCGTGTAAACGGTTTCCCTCACAGATTGTTCAAGATCTTCAGAGATGGGACAGTCAGCCTGGATCAAAGCAAAAATGCTAACCAAGGATAGGAGGTCGTCAAAGAAAAAGAAGAAAACACAGGGACTCCAGGTGCCCGTAAGTGCCTTGTATGTTTTTGGCAATTGAGATAGCAGCCAATCTTAGCTTGTTTTCTCTTTCATCTAAAGCAGCGGTTCTCAACCTTCCTAATGCCGCGACCCTTTAATACAGTTCCTCATGTTGTGGTGACCCCCAATTGCATTGTTACAAATTGAACATAATTAAAGCATAGTGATTAATCACAAAAACAATATGTAATTATATATGTGTTTTCCGATGGTCTTAGGCGACCCCTGTGAAAGGGTCATTCGACCCCCAAAGGGGTCGTGACCCACAGGTTGAGAACCGCTGGTCTAAAGTGTCATACACACAAAATAACACCGTGAAGATATAAATCTAAGAGTCATTAGAGTGGGTGTGCCACAATTCATTAGCTCACATGTTGAAGGACATTTGTTTCATGTTTAGTTTTTGGCTGTTCCATACAAAGCTGTTGGGAACATTTGCACACAAATCTTTGTGAAGATATATGATTTAATTTCTCTCCGGTAAACATTTAGGAGTGGAATGTCAGAGTCATATGGTAAGCAGTTGTTGTAGAAGATACTCCCAAACTGCTTTCTAAAGTGGTTGCATCATTTTACATTCCCACCCGTCTGAGTAATACTGTATGAGCATCCCTGCAATCCACATCCTCACCAATCCTTAGGGTGCTCAGTCCTTTCAATTTTAGCTTTATCAGTGGGTGTGTATCTAATAGTGGTTTTCATCTGCATCCCATAGTGATGTAGCGCTAGGTATCTTTTCATGGGTTTATTGGCCACCCATATATTTTTTTGGTGACATGCTTGTTCAAATCTTTTGTCCATTTAAAAAGTTGGGTTGTTAGTAAGTTGTGAGATTTACTTTGTATCTTTCAAGGAGTCTGTCCATTTCACCTAAGTTGTTGAATTTATTGGCATAAAGTGTTTATAATATTATTATCCTTTACTGTCGATGGGATCAGTAGTGAGATCACTTGTCTCATTCCTGATATTTTAAATTTGAGTTTTCTTTTTTTTGTCTCATGATCAGTTTGGCTAGAGATTATTTTTATTGATCTTTTTAAATAACCAATTCTTACTTTCACTGATTTTTCTCTGGGTTCCAGTTCATTGATTTCTGCTCTTTATTATTTCCTCTGTTCTGTTTACTTTGGGTTTAATTTGCTCTTTTTTTTTTTTGTAGTTTGTTAAGGGAGAGACTTTGGTTATTGATTTCAGACTTTCTTCTTTTCTAATATAGACAGTTAATGCTATAAAATTCCCTACAATAGTGTTTTAGCTATCCTACAAATTCTTTATTTTCATTTAGTGAATCTTCTTATTTATTGTTTGGAAGCCTTAGATCTGACTTAGCTATTCTATAGGACTTCACCTTTCATGGTTTTAATGTCTCGCTTTACTTTTCTATTCTATATATATATTAAAAATAATAATCTCAATGCATTTTAAGTATTATGTATAACTTTTATTTTTTAAAATTTTATTTTAAATTACAGTTTACAATCATTATTTTGTATTTGTTTCAGGTGTACCACATAGTGGTAAGACAATCATATATTTCCCCCTAATATGTCCAGTACCCACTGGGCACCATACATAGTTTTTAAAATATTATTGACTGTATTCCTTATGTGTACTTTATATCCCTGTGATTTTGATGCATTTTTTAAAATTCTCACCCAAGGATATTTTTTTTATTGATTTTTAGAAGAGTGAAAGAGAGAGGGAAAGACAGAGAGAAATATTGATGTGAGAGAACACATCTATTGGTTGCCTCCTGCACAAGCCCTGACCAGGACCCAGGCTGGGAGGAACCTGAAACCGAGGTACCTGCCCTTGACCAGAATCGAACCTGGGACCCTTCAATCTGCAGGTCGATGCACTAGCCACTGAGCCAAACCAGCTAGGGCTTGATGCATTTTTTAAAGCACTTCTGTTCTTTTGGGAATGAGAATCAGAAGCAAAGATACACATATTGAGAAAATGATGTGAAATTACCTTTTTGCGGGAGAGATTGACTTGCTAAAAAGACTCTGGGAAAATGCTATGAGTTGCTGAAATCCCATGACATAGAATTTAAGTAGGTTTATTTTTTGAAATAGTTAAAAATGGCCATATTTCAACGAGGAATTGAAACTGAGTTCAAGTACTAATAACATGCATTTTCTTATTGCTTTGTAGTTTATCAGTTTTCTCCATTTCTTCTCTGCCCTTGGAGAAATACATAGAGCACCATTACTATTGGCTACCTATTATTTTAATGGTAAAGGGGTTGGGGCTCATAGACATTAAGTAATTTGCCCAAGTTCATGTAGTTTCTAAGTGGCAGAGCTAGAATTTCAACACAAGTTCTTTTGGATCCCAGCCTTGTTTGTTTGTGTATTTTTCCTCTATCCCAGTAGTTCTCAAATTGTGGTCTCCTAGCAGCATGGAAACTTACTAGAGATTCACATTTTCCCTCCCCCAGACCCATTGAATCACAGTTCCAGGGGGCGGGACCCAGTGATCTGTGGTTTAACACAGTCCTGGGCGATTCTGATGCACACTTACATTTGAGAAGCCCTGCTTCCCACCCTGGTTCTCATTCGTGACTGCAATTAGGAGAGTTACCTGACGCTCGTGGACTGTCAGCATGAGTGATGGGAGCGCAGAGCTTCCTGGTTATTCTAATGTGCAGCCAACGTTAACAACCAGGCGCTTCACCAGGGTCCCTCTATTCATGTGACTCACTGTTTTCAGATTAATATCACTGTGTTCCAATGAGTATCTTTCTCTCCAGGTCATAACAATCGATGCCTGTTTTCAAGGTGACCAATCAAATTCAGAGCCAGGAGAAAGTAACATCTCCAAAGAAGAGGAGTGCAACAGGAACTGGCTGACAGTGTCCAAGTTTAGTCAGTTAAGTATGTAACAGTCTGCACTCTTGGATCCCCAAACCTCTGGTAGAGTCCCCTCAAGCTATGATCTATAGACCACGGGTGGCCCCTGATGTTCTTTTAAGTGGAGATGAGGGAATGAAAGGGTGGTAACGCCCTTTCTGGGAAAATAGCTCTTTTCTGTTTTTAATTTTTATGAAAGGAACAATATTTCTATGTGTTTAATGAATCTAGAAAAGAAAAATTAGGATTTAGATAGTTGTTTTATTCAGTGTTCATTTAGTCTGATTTGTGGGGGGAGGTTGTCTAATTTTATAGTCTTAAGGCTCATGTGACATTGATTTGGACACTTACACAGAGCTCAATGGATTGAGTTGTACTTGGTTATTTACAACTTCCCACAAATAATGTTCATTCCGTGGGCAAGTATGCCTTAAGTTTAATAAGCATAGTGTGTGTGAGGATAAAATATGGGTCAGCCAGCTAGGAATGAAGACTATGATCCAGGCATAGAATGTGAAATAAACCTAGATAGGTAAGATAAGGACAGACTATGAACAGAATTGAGAGCAGTGATCAGAACTTCGAACTTCTTGCATTAGATAACAGGAGAATTTACTAATTTTTAAATAGAAGGGACTATGTGAGTAAGAACTCATGAAGATTTAACATTATTTGAAATACCAAACTTAAGGTACAAATGGACATTGTATTGAAATCTATGTTATTATGCTTCTTAAAAGCTTCTTTAAGCTTGCTTTTATAGTTGACTAGAGGCCTGGTGCACAAATTCGGGCTGGCCGGGGGGAGGGGCTGAGGGCAGTTGGCAGGCTGGCCCCGCCTCCCTGGTTGAACTCCCAGTTGAACTCCTGGTTGAGGGGACAATTTGCATATTAGCCTTTTATTATATAGGATGGTTTTCAACCAAGGGGTAGTGGCCAGGGATGCTGCTAAACATCCTACAATGGGCAGCCCCACCCCCAACAAGGAATTATCTGGTCCAAAATGTCAGTGTCAAAGTTGAGAAACTCTGATTTATATTTTAAAAAATACTCAATTGTCTGTTAAATCACTGTGAATCAAGAGGCTCTAAGTGGAAAGAGACATTAGAAATTAAATTATTCAGAACAACCTCAATTTACAGACATGGCTTGAGAGCTTAATTATTTTGCCTTAAATCACACAGCTTATTAGAGCCCATAATTTTGAATATATCAAATCTCATACCTAAAGATATGATTCTAGGGCTAATTATAAATGTATTCATTTTATTTATTAATGTATATTTAGTATCTATTACATATTTTAATCAGTTAGCTGATATTTAGGTTATTATATATCATCCTTATTTAATTTAAGTTCTTTTTTAAATTGAAATATAATTGACATATATCATTGTATTAGTTTTAGGTATACAACATAGTGATTTGAAGCACATTGTGAGTTGAGAATCTTCATTTTTTGGAACCTGCCCAAATTGAGTTAATTTAAAAATAATTTAAAAATAAATAAGTTTGAGGGTGGGGAGGTGCCCTGTCAGTTAGCTCTCTTTAAATAAAAGTTCTGAGGAAATTAACAATGAAAAGGAAAAGTACACTTTTTAGCTTTTCCTATAGGTATTTTATTTAAATTGTAATACTCTGTTATAATTGCAACCATAATTATCATAATTTAATATTTTGATGAATGTATTATATATGAAATTTTGTGATTTTTCTAACATTTTTTTGTATCCAAACCAAGGATGGAATGGTTTATTTCTGGAAGTTCTAGGTTCCTCACTTAGTGTGGTTATATACTTATTTTTTTCAGCACAAAATCATTAGAAAAAAATACAACTATTACTTCCTATGTTTAGTCAAGGACTCTTAATAAGTATTATGCTCAGATTTAATCCAATCGCTATATGCCATGGACTCTGTAGGTATCAGGTATAAGTACTACTGCTACTAATTCTCATCATCTTTTTAAAGAAAAGTCTAAAAATTAAATGCATTTGCTGGCATTTTTTCTATCTTTTTTTTTTTGCGTAGCTCACTATGATGCTTGATACAGTTGTTAAGGAAGGATTCCCAACAATTTGGAACTAAAATTTCACATATTTTAGATAAAGCCTGGACGGTAGGGTGCAGGGGAAGGTGAATGTAAAAAATATACAGAAGGCATGTTTTATAGGACAGGTTATGGATAATTTAATTTTTGACTTGAGAGATAAATATAAATGTTATAAATAAATGTCAAGATAACTATTGAAGAATAGAAATAGGATATATAGCTTTCAACCACTTGAGAAAAATAAGGACAAAAGAATCTAAAACTTGCTCAAAAGAGAAAAAAAAGCTGTATTCACATTTAGATGCATACACTCTGTTCAGATCTTTCTATTTGAAAGCAACACATTTGCATGTATTCTCTAATTTTTTCCTTCTTTTTAACAAGGTCTAGAAGCTAACATATACCAGAAAACGAAAACCAAAGGAATGGAGCGGCATGCTGCACAGGTCAGTGATTATGTAAAGCAGTCTCCGGAGGTAAGACCTCTCACGTGATACTTTGTAAGAAAACATTCATGCACACAACATGACTCCTTGACTGTGTGTCTGTTTTATCTTTATGTCCCTTCATTGGCTTCTGTGTGTTACACTGAAATCTTTGCTTTGAATATTTGCTCAGTTTTTTTTCTCCCGCCCCCACATTTTATGCTTTGCTTGTTCTACTTTATGTAATTTGCCTGTTAATGCATTTGAAGTAATTTAGCCTGTGCATTTTTGGCATGAAAGAGAAAGAACTTGGGAATTTTTGGAACTCTTTTCAATACGGTTTTACCAGGTACAGCTAGAATCAACATAGAGAAGCTACTGGGAGACAAAGTTCAGCCCAATTCAAGGAGGAACTTTTAGCAAGTGGAGCTTTCCAAGGATGGAATGGTTTATTTCTGGAAGTCCTAGGTTCCTCACTGTGTGTGGTTAGTCACTCAGGCTGAGCAAACCTCTTTGCAGATGTGTTGGAGGGGATTTGGGCATGGCAGGGTAAAGGGCCCTCAGTGTTTCCCCAACACTGAGGCTCTCCTCGTTTGTGGTCTGTTTTCTTTACCATCCATAAACATGTGCCTGCTTTCCTTCCCATGTGGGAAGTGTGATCTAGTTAGCGAACCCAAGAAATCTAATTTTAGTTTGGTTTGCATATTATCTCTAATGTGGGAGCTATGTACACATTACCTGTATGAATGTAAACTAACAGCCTGAGATGTTCTTGAAGGAATGTAACCTGTGAAAGGTTTTATTTTTAAGTATATTTTTATTGATTTCAGAGAGGAAGGGAGAGGGAGAGAGAGATAGAAACATCAATGATGAGAGAGAATCATTGGTTGGCTGCCTCCTGCACGCCCCACACTGGGGATGGAGCCCGCAACCTAGCCATGTGCCCTGACCAGGAATCCAACCGTGACCTCCTGGTTCATAGGTAGACGCTCAACCACTGAGCCATGGCCAGGCTGTGAAAGGTTTTGATAGTAAAATGTAATATTGCTTGAAGGTAATTGGAGGCAGGGATCTGTCTGCCCTGTCCAGTCCTGGTTCTGCTACTTCCTAGGTTTCAAAGCTATAGGTATACATCCGTTAACCTCTGAGCTTCAGGAGCTGAATCTCTAAAATGGGGCTAATCTCTTAGGAGATTATTGATAATGGATGACAAAAATAACACCAATGGAAATGCCTAGAGTAATGGCTGGAGTGTTCTAAATTTCGAGAAATAATAGTTGAATCTAAATAGGAAAAAGAATGAGCTGATTTCAGGGTAAGGTTATTCTAAATAATCAACTGAAACAAAAGTCTACTAATGATAGGACATGATGTAATGATTGATGTTTCCTGTCAATGTTGACCTTTATTTCTTCTTGATTTTATATGTTCACTCTCATTTCTCTTTTAAAAATAATATTAGTTTCTTTTAAAATGTATTTTTATTGATTTCAGAGAGGAAAGGAGAGGGGGAGAGAGATAGAAACATCAATGATGAGAGAGAATCATTGGTCAGCTACCTCCTGCTTGCCCCTTACTGGGGATCGAGTTTGCAACCCTGGCATGTGCCTGGTAGGGAATCAAACTGTGACCACACGGTTTATAGGTTGACAGTCAATCACTGACCCCACACTGCTGGGCTTCACTCTCATTTTTGTAAAAACCTTTATATATTACATTTTCTCTTTGCTGTCACCATAAAAATAATTTCATTCTGTTAAAGTCCATCAGCAGATTGAGTTACTCATATTTTGTGCTAACATTATGCATCTTTCTAGCCTAGGTCTAGGTATGTTAAGTAAAAGAGAAATAATGAGCTATAGGAAGGGGGGAAGGATTGTACTTTGCAAGGATTGTGTTTTGCAAGCATGTTACTGGAAGCGTGGGGTAGGAAAATGTTGGGTAAACATGTAATAAATAACCTTTCCCTTCTGCTCAGGATCTGAGTAAAAACTCTTTGTGGAATTCCTGGAGCACCAACCTCAATAGGAACTCCCTGTGAGTATTTCTAAATGTCTGTCTTTAGCATCTTTGGCTTCTGTTTTTATTTTTAACAGGATTGGGAACACAGGCTTAATTTGGTCAGAAAAGGAGAAAAATAGTGTTTGTCCAATGACAGCATTTTTTTGATAGCAACAAATAAAAATCATTTATTCTCCATGTTTTTCCATTTCTGGCAACAAGATCTCATCTCAGTGCCTTTTAAGATGATAATGTAGCAACTGGTACTACAGCAAATTAACCATTTGTCTTTTCCATGTCAAAAAGCACACATGGAATAATGAGTACCACATCTTTTCTGATAGATAAGATTGTGGGACTTGCATTAAAGAGTAGAACTGATGCTGTCTTGCCTAAAGAAAAAGACTGAGACTAAAACCTGATTATGTTTTTTTTTCTTTAGTTTTAAAAATAATTCTTGTTTAAACATTTTTCTTTTTTGTTTATGAGGTTGATCTTTTTTATTTTTGGCTTCTCATTAACATCTTAAGTGTTTGTCAGGGCAGCAAATTTGAAAAATATGGAGATGGAGAGAAAGAAAGATCGGCGAGGCTGGGGGTGCGGGGGGGAAGGGGGACGGAGGGGAGAAAGTGATAGACACCTGGTTGTTGACTTGCGAATCCTGGAATTTTATTAGTAGTCAGAGAAATAAAATTTTAAAACGAAACGAGCAAAGATTATTCTATTTTATTTGTAGTGTTTTCTGGACTTTTCCAGTTATATCATCAAATTCACTATCCATACAGCCACAGAAGCAGAATTTAAAACCATCTATTCTACAAAGGGCCAGCTGCTACCAAGCAGGTGGGATGTGACTTTCAGGTTGTAGTCAGCTCCATCAGAGATTACCTTTTCTGCTAGAGCTTTTATCAAGGTCTGTGTGCAAGCCTGTCTCTAGACGTAAAGCACACGTGACTTTCTTCTCCCAAAGGTTCAATAGTTTGTGCACATGCAGAGTAGTGGGTTATTGCAGCATGAAATTAAACAATAATTGTAATTGTACTTTTCCCCCCAAGGACTTTACATACTGGAGATATTCTTTAAATGCATTTACTCAGACTTGCCCATGGCCACTTGTGCACTTGAGCAGGGCAAGTAACAATTTAAAGCTAATTTCAGCCTGTGAACATTTAGGGGCCACGTGGGCTAATGAAACTGATTTGTAGGTTTGTCTGGAGATATTCACAGACTCATTTGTAGGCATCTGCTTTGCATAGTTCAGGGACCCTTTAGTTCAATGATCCAGAACAACACAAACACAGTTAATCTTATATATGTTGTGTGATCATAGCTAATTAAAACCAAAAACCAACAACTGCTTTTCAGTTAGCTTAGGTCCTACATAGTAGATGAAGTACATGCATATTTGAACTATTTCTTGGTTGATAAAGATAGGGGTCAAAGGTAACTGATACTTTTCTGTCAATGAAATATATACACACATACATCCTATATAATAAAAGCCTAATATGCTAAGTGTCCGGTCATCTGATTGGCCATTCAACCAACCAAAGCGTAATATGCTAATGATATGCTAAAGATACTCAACTGCTTGCTATGACGTGCACTGACCATTAGGAGGCAGACAGTCAACTGGTTGACCAGTCGCTATGATATGCACTGACCACCAGGGGGCAGACTCTCTGACTGGAAGGTTAGCTTGCTGCTGGGGTCTAGCCAATCGGGACTGAGCAAGACAGGCCGTACATGCCCTGGAGTCCTCCCGCGGTCCCCCCTCAGCTGGCCAGTCTCCCGCGTCCCTCCCCGGGCCCAGTCATGCACTGGTGGGGTACCTCGGCCTGGCCTGCACCCTTTTGCAATCTGGGACCCCTTGGGGATGTCAGAGAGCTGGTTTCAGCCCGATGGTAGAACGACTGGTTGCTATGACACACACTGACCACCAGGGGGCAGACGCTCAATGCAGGAGCTGCCTCCTGGTGGTCAGTATGCTTCACAGGGGGAGCACTGCTCAGCCAGAAGCCGGGCTCATGGCTGGCGATCACAGTGGCGGTGGTGGGAGTCTCTCCTACCTCTGTGGCAGTGCTAAGGATGTCCAACTGACAACTTAGTAGGCCATTAGTCGGAAATCCCCTGAGGTCTCCCGGACTGCGAGAGGGCACAGGCCGGGCTGAGGGACCCCCCTGAGTGCACGAATTTCATGCACCAGGCCTCTAGTACATATATATATATGTATAGACTCTATATTGTTACTGTTTCACATACTTCTCCTTCCTTTGATCACTAAAAAATGTAAAGCATTGTCTAAACAACTTTAATTTTTCAACAGGTTGAGAAGTTCAAATGGAGTTGGCAGTAAGTTTTTGTATTTAAATATTTTTTTTGTCTTATCAGTGATAAGGTTCACTCTTCTGTTGAGACTTTTGTAGTTCTTGAAATTCTATCTATGACCTGTTTAATATGCAAAGTAGAAAGTTCAGCATAAAAATAGAAAGTTGAATGTCTTTCTCCAGGTACATCAGGGCTGATTCTAGTTTTGGATCACCTGTTTTTAACTGTGATTTTCCAGTTTTCTCTGTGAGTGAGGGTATAAGCACTGAGCTCATTTAGACTGTTCAACCACTGTTACTTTTTTACATGTTACTCATTAAGAACTATTCATAAGATTATAAGGGGATACCTTTTCCTACATTTTTTTCAGTAGGACTCTTACCCAGCTGGCTAAGTAGGGCCGTCGTGTGAGACAACTCCCTGGTAAAGCCACTCTCAGTAGCTAACTTTAAACTTCACCAACTCTGTGAGCTCTTTTCCATATTCTTGACCCCTTGATGCAGATTGGGTATCTTTCTCTTCTACGGTCTTGTTTCACTCTATTATTGGGTTTTCAGTGCCCCCTTTACAGTGGATTCCTTCTCCTCTACCTACAAACAAATTTAAGCCATTTTCTATACAAAAGAGGAAAATAATCATGCCCTTGATTTTACATAGCTTTCAAGCCGCCACTCCTTTTCCTCCCCTCCAAATGGGTTGAAACAGTATTAACATTTGCTCATCAGCCCATGGTGTCTGTCCCCACCACTCTACTGTTGTCCAATGCTAACTGCTAAGCCACATGACCTCTTTTTAGTCCTCATCAAAACAGTGGCATTTATATTGACCATTTTATTCATCTCCTAAGTTTCCTTGAGGCTACTCTTCCCTGGCTGTTCTTCTATTTCTTTGTTGTCTTTGTTGACTGACTTTTGGTTCTCTGATAGCCTCCTCTTCCTTCACCAAAGCTGGAAACCTCAGCCATTTACTGTGCCCTTCCACACCACTGCTCTTAGCTTTCAACTCTGTCTTCTGTTACCTCCACCTCCACCTCCACCTGTAGAAGCTGTCTGTTTTGCTCTCCCCCACTGTTCCTGCCTTCAAGCCTCCAACATTTATTTTCCTAAATAAAAAGCATGCACTTTATTTTGCCCCCCTTGATATTGTGCTAGTATCGTGGTTGTTTTCTCTCCCTTTAAACTGGCCCACATTCCTACTGGAATTATCTTTCTGAGCCATAAATCTTCGCTGCTATGCTTTCCTTTACCTCCTACAGGATAGGCTGCAAATTGCTTAGTCTTTCTTGTGATCTTGACAGCCTGGTTCCAGTCCCAGTTTCCAGGCTCATGTTCATGAGCCCGTTCATTCAATATTTCTGCCATACAGAATATGACCACCCACCTATTAACACCTCCACGTGGTGTCTAGAAGGCGCTGCAAACAAAATGCTCCACCTATCTTCTCCTCCATCTGAGGAAATAGTAACTCCATCCATCTGGTTGCTGAGGCCAAAGTCTTGTCATTATCTCCCATTTTCTCACATCTCCGTGTCTAACCCATCAATAAGTCCTTCAAAGAAGCTGATCACTTTGCTACCTCCACATAGCACTCTCCATCTCTTCCCTGGTTTACAGGATGGCCTCCAAACTACTGCTCTCTGTCTGTTTCCAGAGACAGCCAGAATAACCCCTCTAACCTGCAAGTCCTGTTGAGTCACTCTTTTGTTGAAATGGTGTTTCCTCTCACTCTTTAAAAGCAAAATCCAGTCTACAAGGGCCTATTGATCTACTCCTCCTCTTCCAACTCTCCAACCTCATTTCCTCTCAGCATAGTCCACTGGGGCCACACTTCTCTTCCTTAACACAGCAAGCATCGTCCGGGCCTCGGGGCATTTGCACTTGCTGTTACCTCTGCCTGGAATGCTTTTCATTTATCCATATGACTCTCCCCCTCTCTTCCTTTAGGTCTGTGTTCAGATTTCACCTTATCAAAGAGGTCGAGCCTAGCCACCCTGTGTAAAATAGTAAACTCCCTATCCCCCATTCTTTCTAACCCTTTTAACTTGATATATATGTAATACACTATATAGATTATATATTTACTTGTTTGTTTATTTTCTACTTCCCTTTACTAGAATGTAGCCAAAGTCTTCATCTGTGTTCATTAATATAATTTCTCTTGAGCATAGACCAGTGTTTGGTACATAGTAGGTGTTCAAAAAATAGGTACTGAATCAAGATCTCATAGCTCCTTCAGTGGTAAATCCAGGATTGAAACTTAGCTTTATCAGACTTAGATGCCCATATTCTTTAAAGTATTTCATATTATTTGTCTATGAAGTTTCCATAAGCTTCTGTATACACCTCTATTATATAACTTAGCAAACTGTATTGTGATTGTGTTTCACATGTCTTTCTTTCCCACTATTTCATATTTGCTTTTCTCTAGGGTGAGAGAGACATCTTATTCACATCTGTCACATCTAGCATTACATGCAGTGGGAACTGAATGCTATTATTATTATTATTATTATTACATGAGATCAGAAAGGAAGAGACTTTTCTGCTGATCCTACTTTTTACCAAGCACCCCCAAAGGAAGGGATTTTTGTTCCTTTTCTTATCCAGCAACAAGGAGCCGGAGAGATCTATGAAATTGTGCTCATTATGCTGCATACTCTACTAGGTATAAAGCAGTTATCACCATGAGACTGAAGTTCTCCACTTTAATTTTGATTTTATGAAATGGCAAAACTGTTGCAAAGGATTTCTCTGGAGGCTTGTAATTTAGGACTTGAGCACATAATAGAGAACCAGTTAAACCTGCAGGAGATGTTCCCAGCACACAGTCCTTCTGTAACCAAACAGATCCCTGGTGTCATATTCTCCACCCACTCCTTTGTTTCTGCTTATACCTCTTAATGTGTTTCATCATTTTGTTGTCATTTTAGGTCATGGAAGTAGTCTGCTAATAACTTGATATTAATAATGTCTTTATATGGGTACTGCATCTTGGTAGGAGCTCAGAGAATTGTGCTTCTGGGATGTCGTGAAGTGTGATGGGCAGCTGAGTGCCTTCTGCAACCCAGAGGTATAATTGGTTCAGAGGAAATAGATCTTTGAGGCTAATATTACCTGTCTTTCTTCAATTCCCTATATAAATATGTTTGGAGATATTGCATTGATGATTGGAAGCTGTCAGGATACCATGCACAATAATGTGGTTAAAGGGTATTAGGCAATCTTTTTCGAATACCGAGAAGCCATTCTGATTAACTTGTTCAATAATAACTTTGAAGGCAATATATTCAGGAGCATGTATTTATCTCCAGCCAAGTAATTAAAATGCCAATCTTCTCTATAATTTCAGAAATCTCAGCTTCCTTAAAAAGCCCTCAAGAGCCTCGCCATCATTATTCAGGTAGGATGCACATGCACTGCCACATGTCAGCTGAGCTAAACATCTGTGGTTCTGCATTTTTGCACAGAAACGTTGACGAATTTGTAGCATCAATATGGTTCCCAACTCAAAGAGTTGTTCACTCTGATGAGAAGAACATTTAGATTTCTTACCTTGCCAGTGACTTGGGAAAACAAGATTTAAGAGAATTTGGATTTTTAAAAAATTTTTGAAAAATAATTTTTTTTTGTATTGGCAAGACCATATCATGAAGGGGAAAGATGACCTTGAGATTGACAAATTCCTTATAAGCTCAAAGCCAGCCCAGAGGCAGAGCTCTCCAAGTTTTGGATTAGGAAAGAGACAGGCCTGAGTCTAGCTCTTTGAGGGAGGGTTTTGTACCTTCACTGGGCCCTCAGTGAACGTAACCACTGAATAAATGCCAATGCCACAGAGTAAGTCAACAAAGACACCTTACAAGGATGTTATTAAGTAAGGGGTCAAGGCTCTTGACTCTCTTAAGCAACATAACCTCACAGTGCTTCAGTTGTCTTTCAAAGTGGGAATCATTGTACTAGACCTTCCTGGGGAAAAATCTGCCAGTGGGCTAGTTGAGAGTTAAGAGGGAAACACTAAAATGTAAAGCAGTGTTAACAATCAATAGGACTTGTGCCATTGGGGGGTCTTTGGGGCATCATTGCTTGCAGCACTCGTTGATTTTCACAGTCTAAAGCTCAGTACATGAATAAGCGTGTAATGGTGTGATAATTACCATTATTATTGTTATATCAAGGTCTTACGTTTGGGGTCCAGTACTAGACTACCTTATCCCGAATTCTCCTACTTGGCGAATAGTGCTTTGATGGATTCCAGACTCCACATTCCAGGCCTTATAACTGGGTCTTCCAGCTCAGCTATAGACCATCATTTTGACTAGTTGTTAACTTAAGAAAGTCTCTGGTGAGGAATACTGTACTGGTAACTCCTATTGACTCTGATCTGTTAGGATACGGCTCTTAACAGGAAAATGCAGATCACTTGCTTATAATTAAAATTGGTCTCCAGCGCTCTCTGGGAAAAGAAGGTGAACTGTGCAAAGCCAACAGTAGATGTCCCCACAGTCCACTGTGCATTAGATTTGCTCCAGAAAAGAAAAGGCAGGGAATGAAGAACGCAGATTAAAATGTGCTTTAAAAGGAAGTTTCGTACATGTCTGAACTAGTATGTGATTTGGTGTTCAGGAGAGTGGAGGTGATAGCCCTACCACAGACCATGTTATATAATATCATATCATCTGTTCCTAAGATGGGGATATCCTGTTTAAGGCATACTTTCAGTACTATATAATATTTTCGATACAGGTAAATATTAGGGGTCTTTGAAATGCAATATTTTGGTATTATATGCATATATTGATGTGTGGAGGCTCGCTGTGGATTCAGCCCACCGATGCATAGTAAAAACAGTCACTCTTGTCTTTGTTTGCAGCCATTGAAAGGAACAACTTAATGAGGCTTTCTCAGACCATCCCATTTACACCCATCCAACTGTTTGGTGAGTGCGCTGCTACCTTCTTGAGGCTATGCCAAGGGCAGAGGCATAATATACGAGTCAAGCAAAGGGGAAACCACTTGCATCACTTCAGTGGAAACGTTTGTTTTGCCAGTGGTTGTAGTTTAGTGAGATTAATTTTCTAAAATGCAAACTCTTGTTAACCACCGGCTGGCATCTAGGATCAAAGTCTAATACCCTGGGGTGGGACCTCTAATGGGCAGCAGTTGGGAAAAAAGCAGCAGTGTGGCACCTGGCACTCAACTGATTTCAGGCTGGAAGCAAGCAGGGAAGAAAAGGACCAACGAACCATGTGTAATAAACATGGAAGAAAGGGATACATGTCAATACAGTAAAAGCTGACTGGCATCTGAAGAGAAATGCTTTGTATATTGTTTTTTATTTCTTTTATTTTGTGGAGACTAATTGCTCTTAGCTCAGAGAGCAAACATCATTTTTAAAGGCTGGAGCAGTAAAGAAAAACAAGCTCACGTTGGCCAAGGCTACCAGAGTTTCTCTGTCCGGCCAATCGACAATACAACAAGGGTCCCCACACTGTCCTGGCTGCCGATTCTCCTCACAGTCCCCATGCGGCTTCTGATTGTGGGTGCAGAGGCCTTCTCTTTCCCCTGACTCCACGGCTGGCTTTGCAACCCAGTAACTCTGTTCTAAATCCTCTCGGTATTTCGAACTCCAGAGAGATATTCAAGGGGCACTTATCTGGGCACTAAGAATAAATAACTGAAAACATGTTACTAAGCATTTACTAGACATGTTTTTTAGTTAGTTTAGTGCAAGAATGAGCAAATAGATTCCTTTCTTGGTAAACTAGTTACAGTGTTCACACACACACACACATACACACACACAAAGCCATTTGAGGCAGAGGTGAAAGGAGAAAATGAAACACAGGCTGGGCAGAAGTTGTGTATAGAATATGTTACTTCTGTTATGAAGCATTAAATATTACAGTTAGATGGGATTTAGACTGGGTAGAACTGGTTGCCTGTTCATCAGCCTGAAAGTGGAAGCTATATAGCAGTTAAAGAGCATTTTGTGTCTAAATTTTTTTTAAGTGGGATTGAGTTTGTATCCGAGGTTCTAGCTTACATTAGACAGGTTAACATAGTTAATCTTTATAACCCAAAGAGGTGAGTGCTACGTTCACTCCCATTTTACTGATAAAGGAAGTAAGGCTTCCAGTAACAAAGGTAGGAGGGAGTGTCTCTGGGGTATGACCTTGACTCTGTATAACTCAGCTGGGTTAGACTATGCATTCTCAACAGGGATGATATCACCCCCAAGAGAGCAAAGCCATCCTTTTCTTTTTATGTATAAAGCACAGGTATACAGTATATCTTTGGTATTAAAATGTCATGGGAGGGGCAATTAGAAAAAATGTCTAATAATGTTTATAAGGGGGATGATAATGAAAAACATGGGGTTAAACTATCTCTTTAGAAGTATTTGTCTTAACTACTTTGATTTTGTCCAGCTATATATAGTCTATAATGAGAACAACTTCATTGTTGTGTAGCATCCGATGCTTTGTCCCTTCTCCCCCTCTCCTTCTTTACTGGATAATAAATAACATAACAACATGGCCAAATCCATGTCTTTATTTTCTAGCAGTTCCGGTATAGGTGCAATTCTATTCTCCTCTGATCATTTGGGAAACCGAACTGATTCTGAATTGATCTTTAGGACGTCCTTCATATCACAGACCTGAGATCTCACTGAATGCCTCACCTACACTTCTCTTTGCAGCCGGGGAAGAAGTAACTGTCTACAGGCTGGAGGAGAGTTCCCCTTTGAATCTCGATAAAAGCATGTCCTCCTGGTCCAAGCGCGGGAGGACTGCGATGATCCAGGTGTTGTCCCGAGAGGAGATGGATGGCGGCCTCCGCAAAGCCATGAGAGTCATCAGCACCTGGTCTGAGGATGACGTTCTCAAGCCGGGGCAGGTTTTCATTGTGAAGTCCTTCCTTCCTGAGGTTGTGCAGACATGGCAAAAAATCTTCCAGGAGAGCACTGTGCTGCATCTCTGCCTCAGGGTAAGTCAGACACCCAGAGTCCAGATGGACCGGCCAAAGAAAGGAGTTCTGGCTACACTTCAAAGGCTGTTATCTTCAACCCAAAAGATAGCCTAGTTTTGTTTTGTTGTTAATATATTTTTATTGATTTCAGAGAGGAAAAGAAAAGGGGGAGAGAGAGCTAGAAACATCAATGTTGACAGAGAATCATTGATTGGCTGCCTCCTGCACGCCCCCTACTGGGGATGGAGCCTGCAACCTGGGCATGAGCCCTGACTAGGAATTGAACTGTGACCTCCTGGTCCATAGGTTGACACTCAACCACTGAACCACACCAACCGGCGGCCTATTCTTTCTTGGAGGTGGTGGTATTTTGTTAATTTTGTTTTGTAGAGCTTTTGCTTTTGGAGTGGGGAGTGATAGGAGTTGAAAAAGGCTGAAAATTACACTTGCTGGGTCTTCAGTAATTCTGTGCTCATTAGTAGGCATGTGATAGTAAACCAATATTTTGATGAATGCTCTCTATTTTGTAGGAAATTCAACAACAAAGAGCTGCTCAAAAACTAATCTATACCTTCAACCAAGTGAAACCACAAACCATTCCCTATGCACCAAGGTGAGGAAATAATTGGCACCCTGGCCCTTCATGTTAAGTAGGAATTTCTATCAATTCTTCTCAGCCTCTTCTGAGAAGTACAAGGCCCACGGAGAAGTTCTCCAAGACTTCATTGTTGGGCTCTTCTTTCCAGAGTTCTGGAGACTGGTAAAAGAGAACTAGACATCCCAGGGGTGCAGAAATCATTGAACTTGTGTGAGTGGAGGTGAGAAGTTCATGCAGAGGCCAGGACTGACCTCTTAATGTGAAGCAGGCAGATCCCGGTGTAGTTGCTAATGTCCGAGAACATTATGGCCAAAAAACATTTCTGTTTTAAGCATAGTTTTTTCCACTAACATCTTATAGAAATTAAAAACTTTTAAAGAATGAACCGTTATTATGTTCACTTGCGTGTCTCCATACACTTGCATTCATTTAGCAAGACAGATCATAATTCAGTGCTGAGGACTTATAGCCAAATTTTATTCCTTAATTTATAAGGAATATTATAGCACATGGTAGGGAAAGTTGAGTTTAGTACTCATAAAGGAGTTAGGACATTTCCTGAAAGAAAGAGAGGTGGGAAACCCCTTAATCTTTGCATTCCATAGAAAAGGACCTGCATCAGACCAGAGTTAGGTAATCTCTCCTGCTGCTGACTGTTCAGTAATGTAAGTCCCACCTTTGCTGCCTCCTCGTAGGTTCTTGGAAGTTTTCTTAATCTACTGCTATTCCGCCAACCAATGGTTCACCATTGAGAAGTACATGATGGGGGAGTTCCAGAAGTACAACAACAACAACGGCGATGAAATTGCCCCCAGCAACACCTTGGAGGAGCTGATGTTGGCTTTCTCTCACTGGACCTATGAGTATACTCGGGGAGAACTGCTGGTTTTAGATTTGCAAGGTGATTGGTAGCCTAGAACTTCATACAACAAGCATGAGGCCAAGTTCAGGAAATACTGACTAGGGATTGCTTTCTCCGTGTCATGGTTACCTACATTTGACCTCAGCTCTTTCTTTACTCAAAGCCATAGTGAAGGTCTTTCAATGGAGATATTCCATGGCATTCCTTTTTTTTTTCTTAATTTGAAAACTGAAAGATGATTATTTTTCCCCGATTTTATTTATTATATGTGAAACTGTTCCAAGTGGCAATAACCAGACAGGTGTCCTAAGAGATCTTGTAAGATCCGGGATGGGTAATGAATGAAATTGTTCTATTTAGTTTGAAGGGAGGCGGGGCCATTTATTTCAGACATTGCACAGTGATGATCATGAGCACTTACTATGTTGATTCCCACCGAGATCTAGGGAAAAATATGTGCCGATGATTAGTTGCCTAACATAAACAGCTAAAACTTTGATTTAAAGGGAGATTGACGTTTGCACCAAATTTTCCAGGTTTATGGCTTTATCGTGGACTTATATTCACAAGAACACTTAGGTATGCATTTATACACACAGGAAAGTTTAATTTCCCTGCATTTTTCATGATTTTGAGCTCATTGCTTTAGCAATTTATAAATTAGCTTGCTCTCTTTGCTGTGTGCCTTGATATGACAGTCACAAAAGTACAGACTCGGTCTGAGGAGGCGTAAGGCACTCTTATTGAATGGAAAGAAGCTTTTGATCAGCGCATCTCCCACTATCAACACCTCACGTGTGACCTGTAATCCTGCAGCACGAAACAGAGAGTCTCGAGCAGGCTTTCCTTGCAGGGACAGGACGAAATATGAATTAAGGTCAAAGTTTAATCCCTTGGCTCACTGACTGGGGCTTTGGTTTTAAATAAGGGATTTAGATCAGGAACGTTCATAGAAGTTATCTCATTTAATCCCAGAAGCAGTACCTCAAGGTAGATATTATGGGGAATTTAAGCACAGAAAGTATAAATAACTTGCCCGAGGTTGCACAGCTACTTAATGGGGGAGCCAGGATGCAGACTTAAGCTGTTTTGACCATCTATTCTATCCTTTTTTTTTTTTAGAAATATCAAAAGTGCTTTATTCAACGTAATGTCCATTGCTAGCTACACATCTGTTCTATCCTTAATCGTGCTATGGTTCATTTAAGCAGATTGGGCCTATTTCTTGTTCTCTCACTTTCCCACCTGGTCAGTCCTGGGATTCTGTGCTGAAAGCCAGGTTTGGAGACTGGGGACAGTTGAAATGGGCAATCCTGGGCATTGTGAGCAATGTCTAGTAAGACTGCAAAGCCATTTTGATTAAAATTGTGCCATGTGCCCAAGGGTGTGTATCTACTTTTTAAACTACACATAAGTTCTGTCCTTTCAGATCTATGCTGTTCACAGGTTATATTTCTAACCCTCAAACACAATATTTTAGGAAGCAGTATAAACAAAGTTAAAACAGTCAAGATGATTCATCTTTTAAACCAGCAAATCCATGATCCATGTAAGCCCAGCATGCTCATCCCCAAGGCATCTGCTTTGGTAGCTCATGTTTGGGAGAGGTTGATGTTTTTCATCTGCACTTAAGTGTCTGTGCTTTGAGTTTTGGGTGGAGTGGTTTAAAAAGAAAAAAAGAAAAGAAACAAACAAAAAAAACAACCAGAGAAAAACTTTAAGGAATTAATGATGACTCTTTAGTGTGTTTTGTATTCCACTTGAATAGGCTTTTGTTTAATGATGTTTATGTTTGGGGATTTTTATGTCTCTTAGTAATCCACAGTGACATTAAACAGAACAAATGTCTCATTGGTCGTGTCGGGGGGAGAAGGGAATTAACTTTATTCTTTTACTGGGAAATTATGTGAATTGCAGAAACAGGCCACTCCAAATAAACTATGTCAAAACACTGACCTTCAAAGAAGGGAAGAGAGGACATCATAGATTGAATGTGAAGAAATTGAGATACTTACTGGAGAGTTTTGGCCAATTGGTTCGGCCTGAACTTATGGAAGAACACAAATCCTAAAACTAATTATAAGCAGTTATAGTACCTATACTACTAGCTAACATTTACTAAGTACTTATTTTGCTCTAGTTGGAAAGGGAAAATGACACGAACATAATGTTTTCTTAAACTATCATAATGGTTTTGGGTTTAGTTGAGTTGATGAGTATTTCCAGTCATTGGAGAGATGATGTGCATCATCTGGGTGGTGGGGAATGGAGATGGAGAGGCCAATGACAGCCGTTAGGAGGAGCTTGGAGTCATTCAGTGCTAGTATCTGACTCCTGGCTTTCCTACAAACCAGCTGCGTGACCAGAGGGGTACCACTTTGAGTCCCAACTTCTTCATTTGTAATTGAAGAAAATAATGGGCACTTAACTCATAGGATTGTTAAGGGGTTGAAATGAGACAAGTTCCTGACACACAGTAAGCCCTCTGTAAGTGTTGTTGTTGTGTTAGTATTGATCTCCATGTGCTCTTTAAAATGGAAGTGAATCTCCAGTTGTGAATAGTCTGTCCTTAGCGGTGTGGTCCCAGTGGTATTGCAGAGAGACCTAGCGGTGAGTTTGACATGCTTGTGAAGCCCCGGTCAGCTTGCTGTGCCTTCCTATTATTGCTTCGAGGGAAAGAAGAAATGAGGAACACTATGGCAGATTATTCCACCCTCCCGCCTACTTCCTTCCAAGGGATAGCCAATCATTAACCCGGGAGCTGCCGCCCCAGACCAGGAAGCTGAATTCTAAGGAGAGGCTTGATCGATTTCCAGTCATGTAATTATACTGTAGTCGTCTCTTCTCTTTCCATTTAAAAATCCTACATGTGAGGGCCTGAATCATCATCATTACACTTGAAATCCAAGTTTTCTTTCCCTGCAATGGGAATTAAATACAATTGCATTTCAAATTACAGTTGTCCGGAACATTTTTTAAAAAGCTCATTGTATTCTTCAAAGAACTTTTGGAGATATTAGATCTTTTTTTTTCTTTTAATTTAACAAAGCAGTTTCTGGAATAAGTCCACATTAGCATCAACATCATCATCATGAAATTCTGCTGCTACAAAGATGGTAACTTCTTTCCACAGATGTAGAGGTTCGCTGATGTATCCCAAGGTGGTTGGGATCAGAATGTACGTTTCTGGGTTTCTCATGAGGGCATGCTGCATATTACCTTATAAACGGGCATTTACTCTATTAAAGCTGGTAAAGATATATCATTGGGATTTTAAAATATGAAAATGTCTTATTTTCTCCCATGTTTTCAAATATCTAGGAGACTATGTGGGTAGGATTGGCACCGATGTTGAAATTTGCCTTTTGGGCAATTCCTGTGTATTAGGAGAGGCAGGGTAGGTGGTGGTGGCGCAGGTGGTGTAGCGTGAGTGGTCCTCTGGGCTGCTCTCTATTTGTCACACATTGCAATGCCCTGTCTGCCATTTGGGAGCCCTCAAATATATTATAGTCAAGCTTTGAACAGTCAGATTGAGTGTAGGGATATAAAGTTTTGTGGATATAGAACCCTCATTCTTACAGGGGAATTTATTCATTAGAAAACACAGTACTTTAGGGAAATGGGATAAAAGAAATAGAATTTTACTTCACAAAATGTCCTTATAGAATTAAGATAATAAAAATAGCAGTTGACAGTTTTTAGCAGTTGACAGTTTTAGTTCACTTAATCTTCTCAGTAACCCTACTAGCATAAGATAAGGCTCGATATCATTCACACTTCAGATGACAAAACTGCGATTCGGAGAGATTAACCCGGGTGACCAGGTCACCACCTAGAAAGTGAAGTGACTGTGAGTGGAACCAGATCCTTTGACCTCCCGCCTATGTAACAAGCAACAAGATTTAAAGGCAACAGGAACTGATGTGATTTTGGTAGACAATTTTTCCCTATAAAGCTTCCGTTTCCCCCCAGTTGATATGCCCTCTTCAGGCACTGTGAGTATTCCCAGCTTAAATTTGTAGTTTACTCAGATATCATTCTACAGCTTTCATCAGCTCTGGAATTTTCAGGCTCAAAGTTAGGTCTGAGTTTAACATGGAAAGGATTTGTAGCCTTTGGTCTCTCTACTGGTGGTACTTGTGATATCAGTTGGGTTGTCTTTTTGTTTATTCACTACACAGTTCAAAAAGCAGGGTCCCCTAGGCTGTTCCTTTTTATACCCGAATAAGAGAGGTATAAAGAGCCCAGCCACTGCCTATGACTTTTTAAAGAAAAGCACTTAGGAAGAGGCTGGGCTCTTCATATCAGCAAACACATTGTGCGCACTTGCCCTGAAGCCTGTGTGTCAGCCTCACTTTCTCTTTCCCTAATCAAAACCAGTGTAGAAAGAGACTCCATGCTAGGGTTCTAAAACATCCCTGTATGGAATTCAGAGGGTCTGTGAACTCTGATTTTGGAAAACAAAATTGCACCTGTATTTTCACTAACCGGTAGCTGAAATGCATAATTTCCTTTCATTATAATGGTGGTATTAGCATGAACAATTACAGATATTAACACGGCACATGTGTTGGCAGATATCTCAAAAAACTGTTCATATTTATTGTTGGATGGTGTAACAGTTATTAGACTTGTGCTAGATTCTGTTACTTAACATATAAAAAAGCACATGTATGCAGTACAATAATTTAAAAATATTTTGGTAACTTTATTTCAGTATCATTGGTTTCTTTTGTAATCTTATAGATTTAAATTATGCATTTTAAAACATTATATGGAGAAAAGGGTCCCTTAGCTTCATCAGACTAACAAAAAGGGGGTTAGGTGAAAAAAGGCTTAAAAACCCGTACTTACATAAGTGATTTTCCTAAGGAAATCAGTGTTTTAGGGAAAGGTCACTAAACTGTAAGGATTATGTTCTCTTGTGAAGGCTTTAGAATAGGCTAAAACATACAGAATATAGCAAAACTTTTTAAAAATAGTTATAAATTTTATAATATTTTAAAAATAGTTTTCCCACAAAGTTGGTTTTTTCCAAGCAAAGTGCTGATTGGAGGAGGATCTCAGAAATCTCTGAGTTGTGCCCATGGGGTGCATTCACCTGTCTGATCAGCTTGCCTGGGAAACATCGTTGTGTTGGAAATCAGTTTCCTCACCACTCCCTTTTTAGAACAGATTCGCTTTGGGTGTTGATCCATCTCTGTTTTGATAAATATTAGCTTTAAGTTACTTACATTATCCTTTTATGCATTGGTGTCATTTTTTTTAAAGGTAAATTTCATTGAAGAATAACATACCGCCTGAGCCAGCTTGGCTTTGTGGATAAGAGCGTCGGCCTGTGGACTGAAGGGTCCCAGGTTCGATTCCAGTCAAGGGCATGTACCTCCGTTGCAGGCTCTTCCCCAGCCCGGGCCCTGGTTGGGGTGTGTGCAGGAGGCAACCAATCAATGTGTTTTTCTCACTTTGATATTTCTCTGTCTTTCCCTCTTTCTTCCACTCCCTCTAAAAATCAATGGAAAAATATCCTCTTGTGAGGATTAAAAAAAAAAAAAAGAATAACAAACTATATTCAGGAACATGCACACAGTATTAAGCATATATCCCAAAGAATTTTAACAACCGAACACAGGTGTAAGCAGCAGCCCAAATCAAGCATCTGGGGGCATTTGGACCCTACTGTTTTAAAATGTTATATGTAGCATTTGATGGGTATCTTTGATGCAGCAGAGGTTGTACCTGCAGAACCGCACAGCGCCCTGCACCTTGCCGAGCACCGATGGACTCCTTCAGGAGACCAGGCACAAGCTCTGGCTCAGCTTCAGTCCTGTTGGCACCACAGGTGGACAGTGTAACCTCGGTCACATGGCTTATTCTCTTTGAACATCAACATACTCATTGGTAAAATGAGGATATGAGGATGCTAATACTTTTCTTTCATGATTGCTAAGAATTAGAGGAAATAAAATTAGAATGTCTGGTACATATAAGTAGTAAATGAATGATGGGTGTTGCTATCAATAACTGTGAACACACCCCTAAAACATTCACTGGGGCCTAAAAGTTTATAATAGCCTAAGAGGAGGTTGGGGGAGACAGCATTAACTAAAATTTTCCCACATACCTAGACAATTTTTATAGTACGGTTAATTCACATGTTGTTTGATTGATTACAGGGTAGATAGAGGTTTAAAGAAAGTATTAAAATTTGATTATTATTTTCTGGAAATCTGAGAAAATGAAATTCCCATTTGCTAAGTGAATTTTCTTTCTTCCTTGGAGGTGTTGGAGAAAATCTGACAGATCCATCTGTTATAAAACCTGAAGACAAACAGTAAGTTAACTTATTATGTTATCTTTTAGAAAATTGCCTTTAACAATGTGCATGGTTTTTAAAAATAATTTTTAAAATTTATATTTCTTGCCTAGATCCTAGGAAGATTTTGAGGCTGCTTTTATTTATATATCTTTATCAATATTCATCTCTTTATTCTCTATGTTATATATGTGTATGTATATATTTGTATATATCTATCTATCTACAATACAATAAAATACAATAAGATTCAAAATACAATAAGATTTTAAAGAAAGCATAGATTAGGAAATGGGGGTGAAAAGACAATATGGAAATAACATAAGATTAAATCTGGAGTTAAGTTAGTACACATAAATGGAAATTATAAAGGCCAATGCAGTAGCTAGAACTTTGTTGCAGACTTGACTTTGAGTTTTCTAGTGACCCAGACAAGAGAGAAATACAGGTTAGTGCAGCCTTTCTAGGCTTTGACATAAAAACAATTAATGTCATAGGAGAAGCACAGTTTCCTTTGTTGTCCGCACAATAGAGCCATTGCATCTTCTCATGGGCAGCGTCTTCCATCACATGCCTGTAAAATGAAGGTTGGGGCAGAAAGTGCGCTACTCAGTACTGGCAAGTCTGTGAGGGGTCAGAACACTAGGGCTTAAATATGGAGCATCAGACTGTCTGTTAACTAAAGGCTAAGTTTAAATTATATGGAAAGATGAGTCATCTGCCTGTCCTTTGAATTTCCGTGGTATTTTACTCCCTAACCAGACTTTTGGGAAGACTTGGCAGTAGAGGATCAGAGGCTTTGTTGTTCTGTTAAAGGTGGATGAGAAAGAAAGAAGTGATGGTGTTAAGGACTGATCAGTATGGCAGGCGACAGTGGTTTTCACACATGAGCTTGCATCATAATCACCAGGAGAACTTGTTAAAACACAGATTGCAGCCTCCGGCCTCCCCAGCCCATTTTCTGATTCAGTGGGTTTGTGGTGGGGCCAAAAAATTTAACAAATTCCCAGATGATTCTGGTGGTGCTGCTGACCCGAGACCACACTGGAGAACTGCTAACATACAACATTTTTATTTCTTAGTTGTCCCAAGGATCTATACTTGGCTCTGGGTTGTAAAAAAAAAAAATTAAATTAAAAAAAATATATAATTGCATAAGTGGTAAATCTTATAAAATTAAATTTGAACATTTTACTTCCCTCCCATAGGTCTCATACTGTGAATATTTACTGCTTTATGGAGTAATCTAAATATGGTCTCACCAAGCTAGTGTGGCTCAGTGGTTGAGCATCGACCCATGAACCAGAAGGTCACAGTTTGATTCCCATCTGGGCACATGCCTGGATTTTGGGCTTGATCCCCAGTAGGGGGCGTCAATGATTGATTCTCTTTCATCATTGATGTTTCTCTCTCTCTCTCTCTCCCTTCCTCTCTAAAATCAGTAAAAAAGTATATTTAATTATGGTCTGATCTGTAAGCTTCTATGCAGAGGCCCATCTAAAAGTATTAGCTACTTTTGTGTATGAGGTGGGAGCTGGAAACAATAAAGGTGAACCTGCTGCTCCTCTGCATCCAATTCCTATGCTGTCTGACCATGCCGTTCATGTTGTGACTTTTAGGGTACAGATAAAGGCTCTGTTATTTTTCACTTTAGCAGAGTGAAAGTGTTACTAGTGAAGAATATTATTTCTTCAGCAGCCCTGTGTGCTCAAGGGTTTGTAGTAGGAACCTGGTACCATAAGTACTTTATAATTTTGCAGTGAAAAAAAAGTTGCGCATATCACGAACCAAGTTTTTGTATACTCTGTCATTTATTAAATTTTGACCTTTGGATATGTCATTTAATATGACCTGAATAGTGCTATCTTTTAGAATTCTAAGATTATATTATCCCACTTGACAGTCGAGTACTTAATTGCATTCTATAGGCCAGTGGGTCTCAATTTCTATTAAGGTCACCTGGGAAAATTTAAAAAATAAGCTGCTCAGCATTGGCATCAAATCAGAATCTCTGAGGAGAGGGCCCTGATGTCTGTATTCTTTTAAAAGTTCCTCATGTGAATCTAACAGACAGGGTTGGGACCCTCTGTCTATGGCAGACTTTATTTTTATGACTCGAGGAGAGAAACTCTGGAACCTAATAGGACAGCATCCTCATGGCATGCCTGGTTTTGTGGGGTCCCCTAACTTTGGGTGCAGTTGGTCCTCATGGCGAAGATAACTAGAAGTGCTATTTTTTTGCAACGTTGGCAGATTGCACTGAACTAGTTCAGTGAGGCTCACATTTCGGATGCCTTCGGTGTGTTAATAAACCTTGGCGGCACAAGCGTGGGCCACGGACCAATCATGGTTGCATCACCTGGGACACTGTGAGAAATGCAGAATCTCAAGGCCCTCCCTAGAACTCCTGAATCTGAATCTGAATTTTCACAAGATCCTAAGCTGATTTGCTGTTATTTATTTATTTATTTATTTATTTATTTATTTATTTATTTTTCTGTAATAATTGCCAGCTTTATTCCTCTGGCTATGAGATCCAGAGGTGATTTGAGGTTTACATTTTAATAGTTATTTCATCAAGAGTTTGGGTGCCCCCATTGCCCTTATAAGCTGATTGCAAATTATTTCATTCTCACTTATTAAAAAAGTTTAATTGTCTGTGACACAAGTTCATTAAAAAATACATATAAGCAAAAAGAAAACTCACACCCCACAGAAATAAGCACAGTTAATTTTTTGATGTATGTATGTATGTATGTATGTATACACACAGGCACGCACACACACAATTTGGGATTTTTATTGTACATATGTGAGCTGATACTGAATATGCTTTGCAACTTATGTTATTTTACAACATGGAATGAACATATTTTCATGCATTTGTATGAAACTTCCCCATTGAAAAATAGACCTGGAGAATAGGTCAAATTACAAAATCCAGTAAGATGCTGGTTAACAAGGAAACTATCTAAAACAAAATTCTATCAGATGATTAAAAGTAAAACAAAGGTCTCCTAGCTGGTTTGGCTCAATGGGTAGAGTGTTGGCCTGTGGACTGAGGGGTGCTGGGTTTGATTCTGGTCAAGGGCACATGCCCGGGTTATGGGCTTGATCCCCAGTGTGGGGCATGCAGGAGGCAGCCCATCAATGATTCTCTATCATCACTGATGTTTCTATCTCTCTCTACCTCTCCCTTCCTCTCTGAAATCGATAAAAAAAATATTAAAAAAGTAAAAGGAAGGTAAAAGATACATCAGAATATGCTAACAGAAAGCAGGGGCCAGGTTTTACTATCAGATAAAAAAAAAAAAGAAAATTCAAGGCCTAAAGCACACAGGATAAGGTCGTCTGCGTGAATGTCTTTGCTTCCAATGCATCATCACAAACTTGTTTCTTACTCTTCTTATGTCTTCCGGATGCCTTCCCATCTCATCTACTCCTCTTAGCATTTCTTCAGGGTCCACATGCCTAATGGGAGTGTCCTCTTTGAATGCCTGCACAGGCTGAGCCAGCCCGCTTCTAAGGTTTCCTTCTGCTTCCTGGCTGACACCTTCTTCGGAAGGCGGAGGGTTGCCTTCTGCCCCCTGTGGTACATCTTCTGAAAGGTGGTCTTCCTCGGCCTTTGGCATGTTTTGTGCTTTTCCTTCATTTTTTTCACAAGACTTTTGCATGTTGAGTATTTTTCTATTATTTCCTTTTTGAATAGATTAATCCTGAAAGGATCCGGGGCACTTTTCTTCTCCAGCAATAGAGAGCTGCTCTGATTTACTGTCATTAGAGTTTGGGCAGCACCAGTTTAAGCCCGTGCTTTCACATGTTGTTTATTTTACCCTTAACACCATGGTCAGGGGTAAGCAGCTTCAATCCCAGTTCACTGAAGCTCGGGGAAGATGGCACCTTGCCCACCAGGAGGAGGGTCCATGAAAGAGAAGATGTTTTTGTGGTGCAGATTCTGATATTGTCTTTGCTGCCTCTTAACTGTCCCCAACCTTTTGCACGTGAAGACAAAGTCATCAGGCCTCCCTCACCCCCCCCCCCCACCCCCCAATCCTTTCTGGCTACCTCTCTTGGTTTCTCAGGTCACGAGCCTCGGTGAAGGCTGCCTCAGGTATTGGTAGTTTGGGATTGCATCTTTTCACTTACTGCCTTGATGCGTTTGGGCATTTGACAAGTCTGAAATGATGATGAGATATTCTTCAGTAAATCTGTGTGTATGTGGCACTAATTAGTGTTTCCTTACACGTGAAATCAAGCCACCACCTGCTTGTCTTGTGCTGTGAAAGACCTGGGAAGCAACTGTATTTATTTATTTTTATTTTTAAAACTCTGTTATCTGAGCCCTAGCTGGTTTGGCTCAATGGATAGAATGTTGTCCTGGGGCCAGGTTCGATTCCAGTCAAGGGCACATGCCCGGGTTGTGGGCTCGGTGTAGCTGATCAATGATTCTCTCTCATCATTGATGTTTCTATCTCTCTTTCTCTCTCTCCCCCTTCCTCTCTGAAATAAATAAAAATATATTTAAAAAAAAAACTCCAGCCGAGACCGGTTTGGCTCAGCAGATGGAGCGTCGGCCTGCGGACTGAAGGGTCCCGGGTTCGATTCCGGTCAAGGGCATGTACCTGGGTTGCGGGCACATCCTTAGTGGGGGATGTGCAGGAGGCGGCTGATCGATGTTTCTTTCTCATCGATGTTTCTAACTCTCTATCTCTCTCCCTTCCTCTCTGTAAAAAATCGATAAAATATATTTAAAAAAAAAACACTCCATTGTCTGAGATTGCAAGGTTATATATATGCTTTAGGGGGTAGACAAATGAATGTCCTTACAACCCTCCTTCAGGACCCCGTCCCCCGCACAGGGAGCCAATTCCTAATAGATACATTTTATGGTAATTTTGATTCTTTTGCCTTAACTTTCACAGAGCTCATAGAGGAAAATGATTTAGCTTACAGTTTTCATCTGAGAATCAGGGTTGCATGTCTAAGCTGGGGGTTTCCTGTTTTTCTGGGAGGAAAGCAGTAGCAGGTATGGAATGCGCAAGAGTGAAATATCCCAACAGGGTCCTGCCGGAGAGACGATGAAAGGAATTCTTCCATTTTAATGACTGAAAGAAGCCACCATCATTTTTCACTTTATTGGCATCACAGAGCTCTGGCACTAAATATCGAGTGATTCTACTTTTTGTTGCCACATTTGGTTTCACCTTATTTGAAGTGTTTATTTTTTATTTTTTTACCAAAAGGACTGAAAAAGAAGAATAGTTAACAAGAGGCAGCTTATGCAGCCGGGCAAATACCACCCAGAGCGGTCCTTTGTAAGGGCGATTGAGTGACCAGGAAAATTAATCCTGGGTGCCTGTTCACTTTGTCTTCCCAAGAGATTTGCTCCACCCACTCGCCTCAGAGCAAAGAGGCAATCCGAGATCAAACTGACATCAGCCCTCATTCTGAGCTTGGCACATCTTCAGAGCAGCTACTGTTATTCTGCCAAAAGGAAGTGGAAATTGAGATAAATGTTTCAATACTTGGATGGAAAAAAAAGTCCATTTTTACACCCCGTCCCTTTTGAAAAACCGCATTCCTTAGAAGCAAAGTTTATTGTTTCCTTTTGTGATAGTTTGCTTTAATTTTTTCTTAAGACGTGGTATTTAAGAGCGGTAATTGAGTTCAGATTTTAACATGTGCTCTTTCCACTCTGCATGTCATTAAAATAAAATATTAGCTTTCGAAAAGTTCCTTTGGAAGTGTTTCTGTGTGCTGTGTTCCGTGGCGTGCCGACTGTCAGCCTGAGGAATGATGGGTGTGCGTGATCTGATAATGGATGAACGCTGGTCCTGGGACCTGTGGAGGATCTGTTATAATTAGAGCATTCAAAATGTGCCAAATATGTACCGATTCTGTTTGTGACTTTTGTCACCTACATGCAGCATATGTAGTTTGCTTCCACAAAACCACAGCAATCTTGTCTTTCCACAAAGAGCCCAGCCGCAGCGGTTTGCAGGGTAGAAAGCAGATACCGAAAGAGCCAGTTGTACTGATGTAGGGTTTTGTCTGGCATTTGTTTTCCAGGACATGGTCATATTTAGAAAGGCATTTGGGTTTGAAAGAATATATATGAATCCTTTTAAAAGGTGTGGTTCAATAGCAAATTAACTCTCTACCTTACCTTTCCGGTATTCTAGTAGAACATTGGGCAGTTACTGTCATTCTATCACCCCGTACGCATTAAAAGGGGTCTCAGTATATTTTGGTTTAGCGTGGTACGTAGGAAATTCACTCTTCTATCAGATTCGTGCTGAAATGAGTTTCACGGTAGGTCTTGGAGTTGAGTGCACAGATTTAAGTGCATTTGAATTTTAAATTTGCAAACCTAACATTGTTGCCTCCTCAAAGTGCGCTGTTCTTTGTTGGCTCCCTCAAGTTTGCTGGGTTACTATGGGAGACTGTTCGGTACCTCTGAGAATCCTAGCGGGGCTCCTTTTTCTTAGCTGTGGTCTAATTGATATTCTGATTATTTCCTCCAGATCCAGAGGAATGGTGTTTGGACCAGCCAACTTAGGGGAAGATGCAATTAGAAACTTCATTGCAAAACATCGTTGCAACGCCTGCTGCCGGAAGCTCAAACTCCCGGGTATGCCCCAGACAGTTCTACTTTTTTCTAAGGAAAGCTCTCATAGCACAGCAGCCATTGTAACCAGGGAGAGAGTAGCAAATCTTAATCACATTTTTATCTCCTTCGCAGTTGAGGTCTGACTTTCTGACTGCAGATTTTTTTCAAGTCTCTAAAGGGATTAAAAGGACAGGGATTTATTTCAGGTTCTGCCAAAATGCGATAAAACACTGGGCCCAACACTTGTCACGGTCTGTCCAAGGGGAAAGTTCTACAGACGAATTGGGGTAGAAGTGGGCTGAGGCAGGTCTCTGCACCACTTCCCACCCTTGGGTCCTAGGTGGTGCCCACAGGACTTCTATTCTATTTTTACTTACTCATTGGACGCTGGGAGGGTGAGGTACGGAGGGAAACACAGCTGTCAATTAAAATAGTGCCTTTCACTACAAAAACCTGCCACTTTAAACACACAGGTATATATTTTAAATCATTTGCTAATATAACGCACTTTTTCTGAAACCAATATAGTCACCACAGAAAGTGTGCCTCACATAAAAGTAAGCAGCTGGAGGTCTGTGCTCCCCACGTGGTAGCCTCAGCTCTGTCTCATTCTTTCCTTTAATCTCAGAGGGGACACTTTATGTCTGTCTCAGCTTGCTCTCTGTTTTCCGTAGATCAGACCAAACTTGCCCTTAAAATGGAATTTCACCTATTTTAAGCAGAGTATCCCTTCCTGCCTGCTAATAAGTGGTCATATCCTGAATTGGAAATCAGTAAAAGATCATCGTCCATTATAACTTGGGATGGAGTGGGTGTAAATTTACAACAAAAAAGGGCAATTTCTAATCTTCTTCGTGTTAGAAGTAGAACATTGTCAAGATGCTCTTTTGGGCAAGACATAGCAAAGGACTGGGATTTGGAGCAGGCTTCCGGTTCCGGTGAGAAGTAGCCTGTTAGACAGAGGTGGTGGCCGGGGTTGTACATGGGGTAGGGAGGTCAGACGGGAGCAGCAAAGCGGGGACGGTGGTCACTCTCATCTTCTAGCTGCCCAGGACTCGCTCTCACAAACTACACAGCAGACCTGGGCAAAGAGATCAGTCCCTAGCATGTTGGCTGAGCTGCCCGCTGGCATCCTCTCTGGTCAGAAGGAATCCAGGAAGGATCTGGGCTGGACTGAGGGTCCTGTGGGAGGCAGGTGCTGACATGTATCCGAGTCGCCCGTGATTGCAGGCTGGAGTCTGGCCCGTTAACTCAGTACCTCAGGCGCGGGCCTCTTCCCAGGCCTCATTCGTTGTACCCTGGACCAGGTACCTCTCATTCTTGGAGACATAGGGACTACATCTGATCAGCCAGGAAAAGGGAGACTTGAGGCATCACTCACTGCTTCCTCCCCTGAGCCCAGTTAGCTGTTCTGTATGATTAAGGGGGAGATCATTTCTTAAAAACCTACACTGGTGAGTTTTGAGTAATTCAGTAATTCCTCCATCTCTAGACCTTATCCATGGTTCTTTTCAAAACCTTAGCACATTTTAAGTGAAAATAAGAAACATCTTCAGTTATTGAATTATTTGGTTATTTGAATAAAAAAAGTTTAGTCTGGAATACAGGAATAGGGATGGTTTTTCTTTTTGCTTGATAACGTTTTATCTATCTACATATCTACTTATTTTTAAAGACAGAGTTTAGGATAGTGTATAAGAACGCGGGCTGGCCCTGACCCGTTTGGCTCGGTGGATAGAACGTCAGCCTGCGGACTCAAGGGTCCCAGGTTCAATTCCGATCAAGGGCATGTACCTGGGTTGCGGGCACATCCCCAGTAGGGAGGTTGCAGGAGGCAGCTGATCGATGTTTCTCTCTCATTGATGTTTCTAACTCTCTATCCCTGTCCCTTCCTCTCTCTAAAAAATCAATAAAATATATTAAAAAAAAAAAAAAAAGAACGCGGGCTGGATAGTTGGAGCTCACATTCCAGTTCTGCTGCTTACAAGGTTGTGACCTTGGGACTCAGTTTCCTCATCCATACATGGGATAAAGCACCCAGCTCATAAAGTTGGTGTGAGGAATGCGGTAATATATGGATATGTCAATAACTGTTGGCTATTATTAAACTATAACTTGCATTATTTTTATGTCCAGATAGTCCCCATTTTTAAAAACCCTGACCTGAGGACATATTTAGAGAGAGGAAGATATAGAGAAAAAGAGCATTAGTGAGAGAGAGAGAGAGAGAGAGAGAGAGAGAGAGAGAGAGAAAGAAAGGGAGGTGGGGGGGAGAGCGAAACACTGATGTGAGAGAGAAATATTGATCGGTTGTCTTCCATACGTGCCCCTGGGAATTGAACGGGCAGCCTTTTGGGATGACACTCAACCAACTAACTGAGCCACTCCGGCCAGGCCAGATAATCCCTATTTAATTAAAAATACACAGAATATATGTTTAAGGCTAACAGATTTAATATAACACAAAATGGTATACATTGAAAGCCCATTTTCTTCCATACATTTCTCCCCAAAGATTATCCCTATTAATGTTTTCTTTTGCTAATTTCCTTTTCAAATGGAAGAAGCTTTCAGAGTCAGTGCCACCCTGAGCACAGCTTTGTTGTAGAAAGCTGACTACCGAAATCTTGAGATCACTGTCTGGGCTGAACTCCTTGCCCCTGCCTGTTGTTCAATGGTGCAATGCCCTGTTTCCAGTTTGGCCTCACTTAATTCTAGCCAGATTGTGCCTTAGAGGGCATTTCATTGCATCCAGCAACCAAACCTTTCCTCCCTGGCCCCAGTGAGCACAAGCCTAGAACAGCATTGCGGGGTTCGAGTCACACGTGGGCACGGGGCAGGTAGTTCGGACGTGGTTGAGGGTTTGAGTTTCACATATCAGTGGCTTGAGGCAGCACTGTGCTGAGTACTTGGGAAAGCTTCCATTTCAGTTTGTGTGAGCACCATGCTTTTGAGGATCCACATAACCATCTTAGTTGTCTTCCTTGCAGATCTAAAAAGGAACGACTATTCCCCTGGAAGGATAAATCCCACCCTTGGACTTGAAAGCAAAGTAGAACCAGGTGAGGGGCCTCCAGCAATGGAAAGGGGTGGTAATCCTTCGGAAGACCTCACTCGATTGTAAAAGGGGGAGAAGAAGATGACGCCCCTGCCCTCCTTCCCGTGAACTGACTCTATGGTAACAGAGGTTGATTGACGTAACATGTAACACTGATTACGTCAGAGCTGTCAGACTGGCCTCGCCCTGAGGGACATGCCTCCTGGGACATGCTTCCTGAGCCTCATGTCTCCTTTTGCCTAAAGACCTCATTTGTGTGTGAAGAATGGGTTCTCCTAGATGTTGACCTGCGAGCAGGGTGCTACGTATGTCATCCTCAAGTTCCACGGGAAGACACCTGGAGGAGCCAGCTGGTCTCTGAGATCCCTTGGAGCAGAATGCTGGCAGTAAAGAGTCAGGGAGACAAATATAATTTATTTTCTCACTATGCGTGCACACTGTAACCTACCACTGCTGTTCATCACCTCACCCACATATTGTATTTCTGTAGATAGATGTACATAAAAAAGTTATTGGACTTCCTCCCTTCTCCTCTCCCAGAGCGTGGGGCTTTGAACAACAACAATAAGGAAGACCATGGAGTGAGGGTGTATTTGCACAGATTGAAGCACATGCCTGCACTGCCCAACCAGCGAAAAGTTAGTGTTCTGGTGAAGTCTTGATGGGTGGAGGTATTGTCAGGGAATCACATGATGCCTGGGCATTTCAGGTTTCTTTGAAAGAAGGGGAAAGGGAAATAAACAAATGCCCTTGCATCATTTTTCTTTTTTTAAGGGGAATGGGATATGCAAAACTAGATATTATTAAGAAATGTTTTCCCTTCTCTTAAGCTCAGGGTTACTATTAGTTAGAGAGTTGACTAAGCCAGCCTCTAAAATACCACTCCCTTTTCTAAAGCTGTATATATAATATTAAAGGTTAACTTACTCTCCGTTACGGGAAAAGATGGGTTTCCTATGGGGAAAGATCCTATGAGGAAAGACGGGTTTCTGATGAAAAATATGCTTTGAGGTGTTTGCTTCACTCCAGTGTACAGTTCCAGTGGCTTAATGAGTGCTGGGTGTATTTTAAGGCTGACCTGAGAACATGTAATCATTTCGGAGGCCTGAGGGAAGGGTCCTTGGAAGCTATACCTTATAGCACATTTGGGGGATCAGTGATTTCCCTTCTGCACTGTCAGGGTTGCCCTACCTCAGAACAAGCATGAGCCTTTCACACAAGGAGGAGACGACGGCTGGGACCCTCTCTCCTCTCCCCGCTGCGTGTCCTTTTCCTTTTTATAGAGTGTTCCAACCAACCAGCCACAAACCTCAGTTTGAGAAAAGTCACCTTAATCATTAGGCCTTACAATGGCCAGCTTGCTTTTTAGATCCACACTCCTGCATTCTTAGGTTATCCTTCAGGGGAAACCTTGCCCTGGCATAGGGGGATTATAGCCAAGGATTTAGTTTGCCAAGGATCATGTCTGATTCTTGTAAGTGTGAGTTGCACAAGGGCTAATTTATATCCATGTTATTTTTATCTTGGGGGTGGCGGGAGGCAGGAAATTGGGTGATTTCTTGATTGGCAGTGGGGATAACGTGTTAATGCCCTTTTCAGGGCTTAACTGCTTTATCCTATTCTGCAAATCAACAGGGATCTATTGGTACTCAGTTCAGTGCTGTGTTCAACTATGGAAAGAGGCAGTTTGCCTGTCCAAGGGCCAGAGTAAAGGCATTGATTCAGTGGTCAGCTGTTTGTTACTTGGAATGGAACTTGAAAACAAATACATTTTTATTTCAAATTTTTGTGTTGTGCTTTTTCCTTTTCTTTTAAAATAAGAAAAATCACCAGAATAACATTTAAAAAGATGAACTGCTCACTGTGGGATTGCTTGTATGCAAATGCTAATGTGATTATCTTGACTTGGAGTGTTCATGATCACAAAAGGGTGATGTATTCATTCATTCATTTGGTTAGTTTTATTCAAAGGATATTTATTGCCTTCTTTATATCATGTGAGTGATGAAGATCACTCACCTATTCCCTCCCTCCCTCCCTCCCTTTCCTTCCTTCCTTCCTTCCTTCCTTCCTTCCTTCCTTCCTTCCTTCCTTCCTTCCTTCCTTCCCTCTCTTTCTCTCTTTCTCTCTCCCTCCATTTCTCCCCCTCCCCCTCCCCTTCCCCCTCTCCCTCTCCCTCTCCCTCTCCCTCTCTTCCAAGTTTAGATTTTGGGTTAGTGCTAAAAAATTTTGACTTCTGGACAAATGTCGAATCTTAAGGTGTATCCTGTACCCTGTCTGTCAGTGGGCTGTACTTTCAGGCTGGGATAAGAGAATTAGGCCAAGTAAGAAGTTAAAGTAAATAGGTGTTTTTAAGAACCACAGAAGAAAACGGACGGCACACCCCTTGTATGAGCACAAAGTCCATTTCTCAGGTGGGATCTGAATCTGGGGACCAGGGCAGCAGCCAGGCTCTCAGAGTGCTTTCTGGAGGGTCCTGTACACAGGCATTCCTTCTCCCAGGTGGTACATTCCCCGGAGTGACTTCTGCCCCATGATATGCTAAAGTTCTGATAGCTCTAGGGAATGAAATCACATACAGTTTTGGGTGTTTCTTGCCCTGTTATTACTTTCTGTGGTTTTGTAAAAAAAAAAAAAAAAAGTACTGACTGACACTTCCTCCCAAATAATTTAGTCAAGTTTACAAATTTTTCTTGTGATTGTTGTTGTTGCTTTAGATGAGATGGACCACTCAGGTTCTGGAAGTCATGACAGGTGTCATGGCTTGTTGTCTTTTGCCATCAGTCACCAGAATCCAGCACAAAGCATGGCACATAATAAGCTTTTAACACTATTTGTTGAAATAATAAAATCTTCAAATGATAATAAACTTCATTCACTAGGTAATAAATCAGATTTGCATTTTTAATCCAGCAGGGAGTGATTACCCATTCCTTAAGACCCAACACAATTCTTTTGATCTCTCTCTGTTAATTTTCTAGGAAATAGCTTTTTACAGCCTACACCTTGTCTATTGAATTCTCAACCAGTTTTTGCCCTTATCATCGTGGTGATAATGCCACAGTAGAGTCCTTTTTGCTGGTGACGATTGAAATGAGACGATAACTTCCCAGAAACTGCCTAGAAATAATCATCACTGTGTTACCCTTTGAAAAGAAGATTGATAGAAAAGTCATTTGAAAGATGGTTAATTACCATGCTCTCGTTCGATTTCTTTACTCACATTTCTCCAAAGCATGAGAAGGGGAGGATTATTCTCTGAGGTCGGAATTTGAAGGCTGTGTGTTTGCCTCTTTGAAGTTTTGGTATTTAATTTTCTGTAGTCACTTCTTGGGCAATTTTCTAAGAAACTAGTTGAAGCTAATTTATCATAAGTTAAAGTCAAATGACAGAAAAGATTTTTTTTCCTTAACAGTATTTTATTCCATAGAGGTTAGCTTCTGAAGGAAAATGAGACTTAAATAGCATTTCAAATACCCAGCCACATGGGTAGGTACATAGAATAGAAGGAATTCTGAAAACCACACTGATTTTTTAAAAGTTAGCACAGTTATTAATTTTGACTCTTCTTTTTAGATCATCATGCACAGATAAAATATATTTTTATGAAGCTCGCTCCTAAAAATAATTAGTTAAATTGCTTAATTTTCAAAGAGGGATTTTTGGTCCTCAAGGGATAACAAATGCCATCTCTATCCTTGGCAGATGTTGGTATAATGTTATGTAATTCATTTAACCTTTCTCTTACCCCCTAACTCTGAAATGGAGATGAGACACTTACCTTTTCAAACAAAAGTGAACAATAATAAGAGAGCATTTACAAAGTCCTTTGAGAATCTCATTTAAGAGGCTTCTTGTGAGCATGGGATCCAGTTCAATAAATAATAAGGGCTTTCATTTTTTATACTATGTGATCATTATTTAATGTTTACAGAGGATGCTCAGTGGACCTGTTTCAGTATAAACACAAAAGTAGTTTCTGCTATTTCTTCCTTTCCGAGGGGAATAAGCTTGTTTTTCCCTTTCTGTTTTGAAGCTAATTAAATAATTCAAAATCAGGAAGTTCACCATTTCACAGTGTCTCTATTTATTTATTTATTTGGATGGATTTAGGTTTTCCCAGCTAATTTCTCTTGCCATCGTCTGCCCAAAGAAAGTCTTCTAGACGAAATAAAGACCAAAGTTTGTGCCATCATTGGTGGCATTTTGGGATATGAAAAGAGAGCAGGTTTAAAATCTTGGTGCCTGTAAAGCTGGATGTTTCACAAAAATGTGAATGGAGAGACATTTTGTCAGTATGGGGCTGACAAAATAATTAGTAATAGAAAATGTTGGCCTATAGGTTGTCAGCATCTTTCAGCAACCAACTTCCTTTAGAATTCTTATCTTCTAGTGATTATTTTTGATTGTGAACCTATAGAAATTTTATTTTCTGAATTAGTCATAAAGTCTTTGCAGGTATTATGGTAGGTTAATGACTGTCCAAATGTGGACCTAACAATTGCCTTCATTGGAGGGGTTTGGGGGAATCAGTCATCCTGGCATCACGTGGTTGCACTTTGGCTTCTAATGAATCTTCTTCCGTATCCTATTGGTCACCAACTAAGAGGTCACAGAGCCTTGGGATGCTTTGGTAACCAAAATAAACCCTTAGTGTGTGTTATAGACTGATTCGTGTTCTTCCGTTATTGATGTGTTGGAATCCTAACTCCCAGTACCTCAGAATGTGACCATATCTGGAGATAAGGTCTTTCAAGAAGATTAAGGTTAAATGCGGTCACTAGGGTGGGCCCCGATCCAATATGATTGGTCTCCTTAAAAGAAGAGGCAAGTAGGATACACACAGGTACAGGGAGAGGATAATGTGAAGACACAGAAAGAAGGTGACTGTCTGTAAGCCAAAGTGAAAGGCCTCAGAAGAAACCAGACATGCCAACACCGGGATCTTGAACTCCCAGCCTCCAGAACTGTGAGGAAATACATTTGTCTTGTTTAAAGTCACCTAGTTCTGTGTTACTTTATGGAAGACCTAGAAATCTCACAGTGTTTGTTGCCTCGTTTTGGAAATCCTCTAAGTCCCTCGGAATCTTTGTAGCGGTGAATTTGTTCAACCTAAAGTCTCTGCTTCTTCTTTTGTTTATGTATT